GTATAACCAATATGTATACAAGATACTATTTTATCAAGTTAAAATGTAAGATTACCAAAGACACGTGTCTACAACTGTCCGAATAGAAGACCTGAGTAATATAATATACTGTTTGGTAAAAAATAAAAATAAAAATTGGTATGGATTCTACTTCTGCTTTCTTAAAAAAAAAATATTACTGAGTCAAGATATTTATAGATATTTTAAAATTACAGCTGCGTGAAAGTGTAAATTTTGTAACTATATACTCGCATCGCATTCAATTTCTCAATTCCAAACTTGAGTTATTCATAATTCTAACTCAATACTGCAGTTGATCTTTGGAAAAACAAAATATCCAACGCGTCCTGTCATTTTCAGGTTAATGATGATGAAACTAAAATAGCGTTTTAATAAAATAAATAAAGACTTGAAGAAACACTATAATAAGTTTTTAATCATTCAGATTCTTTAGTGCAAATTTATGTATGTGGCCCCTTGGATATATGCAACTTGTTGTATCTGGGCCCGTTGTCAAAAAATAAAAAATGATCTTTTCCCCTACCATTTGATTAGATGAAGTGATTTGACTCTGTCCGATCCAAGCTACGTAGTTTTTTTTGGCGATTTCTTTACTTTGAAACAGATCTCATTTGGTTTTTTGAGCTAGTCAAAACGAATTTAGGACCAAAATTTCCGAGAAATTGGTAAGAGTAAGAACACAAAATAGTATATTATAGAGAAATTATCACTAACTCTTACAACAATAAAGTTTTAAAATACATTCATTTATATAGATACAAACGAAAATTCGATTCACAAATCAATAATCGAATTCTGATACGGGTTTGTAATCTCTGTCGATCTCAATCTAGTTTCGATCTATCTCATTCATCTTGCCAACATTTTCGTTCTTTTTTTTGTTTTTCAAACATTGTTAAAGACCGGACCACAAAAGCCCTATAGCGAGTCTGAATTCATATGGCCTACCAAGCCTGGTCTGATAGACTCCACTACCATACTGGATATTTTATAAAGTTAAAAGCAGTACTCACTTGTTTTTAGTAACAGGTAGTATGAATTTGATAAAGAATCCTCTATATAAGAGTCATCCTAAGACGGTTTTAAGTAATTTATTTTCTAATAAAAATTAGTAAAAATTATTAAAAATTTTTAATAACAAATATATAGAAATAACGAATATATAGTAACTAATATAGAAAATTTTATTTAAAGAATATAGAAAATATTTGAAAATCTTTTATTTTCTTTTCAATAATACTAGATTTTTTTATCCAAGTCAAAAGCGGTATTAAAATATTTAAAAACAAAAATTCATGATTATTTTAATAGATGGGAGAAATGAAAAATAACAAAGATAAAATATATTTATGTTTGATCAAAATTTAGTTTTATTTACAATATATATCATTTTTATGTATTTATAAATGTTAGAATACACGTCTAAATATTAAATTTAATTAAAAATATATTTAATTATTTAATCTCATATTTGGCGTGGCTCAAAATCTTGTATTTTCGAAATGACAAAAAAAACTAAGAAAATGAATCATTAGAGTTTTCTTTCCATGGGCTGAATAAAGAAAGACCAGCGCTTTAATTTAATGATTTAATACTCTTTGCTAACGGAAACTTGAGCCCAATAAGCGGAGAAAGAAGAACACATTTTTATAAGATGATATTATGACCGTCAACAAAAAAAAAAACATTTTATTTCGAGCAAAAGTTGCAAAGCTAATGTTGAGATCGGAAGAGGAAAAACCAAATTTAGAACGCTATAAAGATTACTTTCATACAAATATAATAAGTTTGTTGGCGCATTAAACAAACAAAACTACTATGCGTGAAATTAATTTATGTAAAAAAAATGAACAGAGGAGCAGCTTGATGATATTTGTATCCATGGATCATCAAAATAATCGTTACAAGATGGTCATGAGTGGCTTCTGAGAGTTACTGCAAACCGAGCCAAAGCTGTGTTATCTCAGGCTGGAGACTTGGAAGACGCTTCCGTTGAACCGCCTATCTGGTATGGTGCCTTTGACGTAATCCTGTTAGAGGTTAAGCATGATATTCCATCAGTTAGATTTCCTTGAGAAACTAACTTAACAACAATAGTCCAAGTAACATAAGCTGTTTTCACAAAATATGCATTACCTGTCCTTTCTCTTCTCTAGGAATCGATGAAGCGAAGCTCTTCTAGCAATCGGAAGTTCTATAAAATCAAAGAGATAAAAGTTAGATTAACATGGCGAAACCAAGCCTATAGATTGTTGAATCAAAGAGGCCGAGAAATAGTACCGCAAGCTAATGAGGACGGGTTAACGGGCTTGATTGGCTCTAGTACAGCGGTTTTTGCAGGACTACGAACTGGATTTGGGCTAGAAGCAATCTCTTTCTGAATATCAGCACTCTGGTTATTGTTAA